TAATTTCAAATCAAATGATTCATGTAATTCTTGCTGCTAATTAACAGAACATTAATAGCTATATCGTATATCATGCAAATTTATCGCTTGCTCGAACTAACTTCGTCTTTGTGCTATCCATAGCGTGGTAATTCTTCGCGAATTAACAATCGTAAATTAACGATCTACCCGAAGAGAGATCTTGACAAATATATCCCACTTTCTCTCTCCTTCTCTCTCTCCCGCTCGGCCGCATTCACCGTCCTTTTCGCGTGCAATCAATCACTTTATTTCGTAGGCTGCCCGATGAAAAATCACCGAGGTCGCAATAAATCACGAAACCGAGTTATGAAAGATCCGCACGCTCGCTTGGTCGCTGACCGAGACGGCGCGTGTTCACGATAGCTTTCGAAAATAGCGCGATCATTTGATTTTTTTCGACAAGCGCAATCGGATTTTTCGGAATCGGATATTCGCCGATTTGACAGTTTACATTGGTGATAGAGCGACGGAGGTAAGCGCGCTCATCTTTACGGCTCTTTTAGCGTCAATGCAAAGTTGGCCGTTCCGTGCGTCAACAGTTGCGTTTCCGGGATACGGAGACGTTTGAGGGATGATCGAGGCGCGAGCAACTTTTGCGTCTCACGTTCACACTCGAGCGAACTTGGACTATATCTCGTCGTCGTCGCTGGATTGTTCTCAAACATTGTCGCCAAGTGCGGTCAAACTTGTCGCCGGCGTTGATTCGAAGCAGGGAGATTCGCCTTTATGCCCGCGTTGAACGACCAGTTTGACAATTCGCGCGAACCATAACGACCAACGTCACCGCTTGCGAGGATGAATCTATTCGTGGCGGGCGTCGTTTAGACGACGATGCGAACAAGGCAAGACCCCCGTTGTTTTCTTCGACATTTTACAACTACCGCTGTTTACGCGCTTCCGCGACGTGAATTCTCTCCACGCGCGCTTTAATCACGCCGCATTACACCCTTTGCACCCTTTGTAGGGGAGGCGTGCGAATGAAGAACACTCCATTATTCATTCTTAACACGCGCGAAAAAAGTAGACGCGCTTGTTGTAGCGACGTATCTCAAGAAAACGGTAGAATATTTTTACAAGAGAATCGTGCGGGTAAAGGCGTCAACGATAGCTGCTCGTTCAAACGACTATTTAAACAACAAAACTTCGCGCAGCCATACTTTATTCGATCCAATTCTATTGTCTTTTTAAATCGGAGCCTTGAGTGACAGATGCAATATATAAAATCAAAGATTGTTCAAAGTAGAACGCTTCTACTCTCGCAGCGCACGAAGACTCTCTATAAAAACTGCCATGTAAAGCTCGAATAGGAACTACAGATGATATAGAGAGATTTTCCAGCATTTCGGTAGATAAGTGGAAGTAGAAGCGGAAGTCTAATTAACGGCATATTTTCCGGACAGGAGTGTTTAAACTCGAGTGAAGGCTAAAAACCCGCTGAAATACGAAATTCTCGTGGCGCGATTAACCCCGTTGCTCCGTGAAATCAATGAACGGAGGCGGGAAGAAAGGTGAGCGAGATGTAGAAGCAGTGGATGGGCAAGCTATTGGGCCGAGACGAGGGACTATATATAACCAACCATTATCAACTCATTAAAGGTATCCATCTGCTCTTTCCCGATTTGGCTAGCGATCTCAGTCGCTATCAACATTGTCCGCCAAATCATTCTCGATTTTCCTGGCGCACGTTTACGCTCGCGAAACTACCCGACACACCGAGTATTTTATAGACTGTTATTTAACCCCAATTAATTAGTCCATTCGTGCCGCAGCAACTTTTCCCCTAGTTGCACTCATGTCTGCTTGAACAATCATTATGTGCGCGCCGCGTGCTGTCGGTATCACGCTACTTCGTTACAGATTATCACTTCAACACTCGCGAACGGCCTCGCACTTGGTTTATTCTTGTTCCATTTGTCTGTAAATTTCGGTGCGATCATATTTCACTGCGGTTAATCGTCGAACTTGTATGATATGTTGGCAGCAGTAGAATGAATTCTCTTCAATTTTCTTCTCTTGCTTAATTCTCTTTCTAATTCCTATTATTTCTCTCTTTCCCTCCCTCTCTCTCTCTCTCTCTTTCTCTCTCTCTGTTTTTATACATTTTAATCTTAAGGATGTTTTGTACTTATTTTCAAAATATTGAGAATTTAATGAAAATTGTACAGAATGTCCTTACATATGTTTAGAATCTTCAGTACAATTTTTAAATCGACTTCACTAAAGCGTTCACAAGTTATAAGGATTTTAATTTGCACCGAATTAACATATGTTTTTATGGGAAACGTATAATCACATCGATTCAAATGACAAAAACACATGAAATAATATTCAGAATTTGTTTAAAATTTGCAAAAGTTTAGATACAGAGGAAATATTTGGTCAAATAATATTATACAAGTACTAACTGGTTAAAAAGATATTAAATATAATTTAATGAAGTTAGCCATGTATCTGTCACAAGGCGAAATTCTCTGTTAAAAGTTAATCATTCGATTAACAAAATTCGGAACATTTCAGTAAAAACGCAATAAATATTAAAAAATACATCTCTGCATTGTAGCTGCATTGTAGCATTGTAACAAGATCAAATTGTAATATTCCACACAATTTCTTACTTAAAATACATCAAAAGTGGATATATTCAATATTGATTTTCAGCTACTTTTTGCTGGGATTGTACATACAAAACATTCTTAAATTAAATTGTATTTATCTTAATATAACTTGTATACTCTTAAAAAATTAAGTTATATAAGTATAATTATTCTGCAAAGTTCTCTCCAACTTTATTAATTTCCATATAGATATTATATCGCGTCCTTTGTAGATTATAAACTAATTCATTTAATGTTAGAAACTATTGGATTGCATTGAAAGGAACTGTTCACCATAGAATTATAGTCCATCTAGTTAATTGAATGTTGATGTTAGACATGAATTCGTCGCGTGTTTGACGCGACGAATTTATTAATGTATATTTATAATTAACATTGATAATTATAGTTTTTTGTGTGATTAAAATGAATAAGTGTCTCCTCATAAATCTTAGAATTTAACGGAGATTTTTTTCTTTCGCTTGTACGTACATAAATTGTCGTCTCGATCAATCACGAAGCAAAACAGGATGCACAATAGCAGGCGCGAATTATTTTTCACGTGTCAAAACGCAGATGATGAAGAAAAGCTTCCTCCTCGATCATTTCTGTAAAAAAAAAACTTGACGCAGTCCGAAAGATTTCGACGCACCGCATGTGCGGCCATTGGTCTTTATCGCATTCCTCTCGAATTCCTTCGTCTTACTCGATTCTCCTTCGGGGGTTACCTTGAGCCGTACCTCGCTCGACGCTTTTTATGTCTCGCGTAGTTCGCGAGCGCGATTTTACGACATCCCGGAAGGTCCGTTCTCTTTTCCTCGCGGTGCCAATGCCTCATATTTTCCCGTTGTCACCCCTTTTGCCGTGTCATTTGATTATCGTCATGAAACTCGCCGGCTATTTCTTGAAACGTCGCGTTTTCTTATTTCACCTTCTAAACGTATGTGGTACTCGGGTCTCAACAGCGTCTCTCTCGCAAATAATCGCAGCTGGCATTTTCTTCGATCTCACTCGACCGACTTGTCCCGATTTAATCTCCCGCGATATCTTGACCGTATATATTATGATACATGTACGTGCATATAACTGTCCCGTGACTCTCGGTCGTTTGAAAGTCGAGACGTGCGCGCCGATGAAAATCATTCGAAGTGTCGCGAACGGTGCTTCAGCAGGATTCCGGAAATATATTCGCAAGCACGAGAATTCTAGGCGATTTTTTTTCATTTCCTCATTTCCCCCTCTAAACAGTAAGATCCATCCAGGAATTCAATGGCAGCTAGCATAGAATAGACAATTACTTTTTATGCAGAGAGGAACTGCTGGAGTTTATGGTTGGGCCAACGTAGATGCGCAAGTTAAAAAAGCCATTTTGTATCTTTGTATTCTTGGGAAATGAGGGATTGTCTTGCAAAGTCCCTTCTTTCGAAGATTACGCATGCCATTCGCACGAGACTGCTTCTCACTGTATTATCGTGCAGCAAGTTACCCAGTTTATGTCATGAGGTTTGCGTCATTTTAAATTCTACGGCATCGTGTCTTTGGTGCTCTTTTCCTTTATTTTTTTTTTTTTTTGAAGAAAGAAAGAAAAGGTGACAGCGAATCCGCTCGGAAACGCTTCAACGTTTTGTAGACGTTTAATATCCTGGCTTAATATTATAGGGGTAAAGGGGACTAGGGGTCTTTGTCTCTCCTTCTCTCTCATTCTGATTGGTCCATCCGTTCTACTTTACGATCCACCGCAGCTGGCCACAGCTCGTTCTTCAGCGGCAGCTTGGTGTCCCGCGAACGATCGAAATCCCATTTTCCACTGTCACAGACCGTCCACTTTTTCTCGAAACGAGATTTCTGGGCTTCCGAGAACGACATTCTCGTTCTTAAAGTCTAATTTCGTCTGGATATTATACGACATCGCATTAACAAACGATATCCGCCGGATTTCAATTTGCAATGGAGGAACGATTTATTTATCTCGTAGTAATTTCTTTAGCTATCTATCAAACGGTTCGACATTTTCATTTTATTTTTTTTTTAATTTCTTATACGCCAAGTGAAGATAGAATTGATACAAGCATAATTTTATAAACTTCAAATTAGGTCATCAATAATGACTGAGCGCACGAAATCGCCTTCATAAATAAAAACGTTTTTTCAAAAACAAGTCTTGTTGCGACAGAAATAATATCACACGTTGTTATTTTTTATTTATTAAAGCTAGACATACTATAGATAATTTTGTGCTTTCCATTAAAGAAACATATGGTAAATAAAATATAGCGACTTATTTTTGAATAGTCATTATTATTTCACGTAAAGTGCAATTACTTTCTACATAAATGTCATATAATTCTAATTGCTACATTAATTACAAATATTATTATGGTGCGACATTCGTCTAGATATAAATTTAAAATATTCATGCTTTATGTAGGATAATTAGTACTTTAATATTCTGTGTAATATAACCGAATTTCTTCGTATATCTCATGTTTGATCGATTATTATGTCCTCTTTCAGAGGAAACGTTTTATGTAACACATCGAGTATTCTTTGTGAATAATTAAAACTGCCGTAAGGCAAATGAAATGGTCGATTGTGTCTATTCAGTGTACTCAAACGCAAAGCATCAATGTTATAAAAAAAATCAACGCGTTTGAAGCAGAAATAGACATGCCAAACTGAAACAATCTGCTCGTAGTTAAACCCATTATCCGCCAATTAAACTCGTCGGTCATTAACGCAGGTCGGTTCTGACCGGCTAGTTCTTCGTTCTTATAAGGTCAGATACGGAGGGCCACGTGCTCGTTCTGGCGAACGATCGAAAATCCATTTTCGCCGTGTCACCATCGGTCCGTTTCTCCTAGAGAGCAAGACAAGTGTTTCCAGGAGGATGGCGAACAGGAACGTTGGATATGCCTCTAGTACCTTGATGTACCTCCAGAAGTCCGTTTCTCGAGTGCCTGTTCGTACACGACTTGTCATTGATTTGCGTACGTTCAAAGGGCAGGATCTGCGTGCTCGTACCGTCTAATAGGATCCTTTGTGCGAGCACGCGACTGTCGGCCGCAACACATGCGCGTTCGCAGACACACACACATCGCTCGTTACCTGCGACAGGTGCGTAAAATCACGTCACGCGGTTCTGAAAATACTCAACAGTATCCTCTTTATCACAACCGAAATACATATAAGTTTGAGGTAACAAGAACATAAAAATTGTTTGCTCCATTTTTTAGAAAAAAATGAAAAACGATATCGTTTGCAAGAAAAAATTCTTATTATCGGTAATATTAATATTTAATAACTTTGCAGCACGAGAAGAAATATCGTCAATAAAATTAATGCTCATTAAATACGTACATTGGTAAATCGATAAGTATGAATAACAACATATTGATTCATATGAATATAAGCTACATCATAATATGCTTATTATAACATGAATTGAATTATTAAATCTGCAATCATTTCAGATAAAAATCAAAAAAATGTTTTTATAAAACATCGTATAATATTGTAGACACATCGATCTTTAATATAATGCCATGCACACGGAATTCGAGATTTTGATTCGTCGCGGGAGATGAGAAGGTACAGACGGGCTGAGGAAAAGAATAGATATATGCTCATATGGAAACCATAGAGAATCCGATGAAATAACCGGAACGTCTGCGTGGCGCCAGATCCACGTGACGGCATCAAGTTTTCATTCGGTGCGAGATCGCGTGTCACAAATTACCGGTATCGCGGACTCCCCACCGACTCGCCAAATCGATTTTCGTTGGACGTTCGGATTTCCCTCAGTCGCGACTGTACGCGGCGGGCTTGTTCTACAGTGCGCAATGCGCGCAGGTGTCCTTTCCGTCGTTGATTGTAAGCCAAACAATGGATGCCTAAAATACACATCGCTTGAAATTCATTTTTGCGATCGTGGAAATTAAAAGATAGACGTAATTCGATAGAGGTTTAATTAGCACATATATTAATGCACATTTGCATGTTTTCACTAAAACATAAGACATCATAGATATCTCCGATTTAAACTGCATATTAGTGCAAGATAATTTCGGCGAATCGTAAATTTTAAATTGGTCGAATTATATAACTTTGAAGATAAATGAGACTAAATGAGATATTTAGAGAGAATTTATTCCAAATGATTCTTTTGAGAGTCACGGGTAAAAATTATTTTTTACTTTTAAAGCTATATAATGTTCCTTTTAATAATAAATTTTTTAATAATGTTATAAACCATGCAAAGTTTGTTTTTATTTTTAAACAAATGTTAAAAATATTTTTACATTTTTGAGAATCCATGAATAGTATGTATTAATAATTAATACAATTTAAGGAAATATAAAATATGCAAGAAAATTCTTTAAAAATGTCACTTTATGTGTACTAGATATTGTAATTAGTAGAGATGGTAAATGGTAGAGATATAAGATTTTGAATTAAGATTTTGAATAATTGAGAATTATTTTAATACCTCGCAATTCAATGATTCTCAATCTCTCTCGTATTATTTTAGATGAAATTTTCGTTATGATTCCTATTTATCTTAATAACTATAATTTCACGCAAATGAAATTACAATAAAGTTTAATCTGACAAAAATACTATCTCAGAATTGCATAATTAGAGCTTGTTTTATCATTTGAATAAAATGTTATTTGCAATCAGATATTAAGTTATTATAAATATTAAAATTATCTTAAAAAAATTTCTCTTTCGTAAAAAAGAAATTAATTTAATATATTATATATTGATTATATATTGTAATTATTCATTGCATCGAAAGTACGTTTACAGAAAAAAATGTTTCTTTAAAGTTTATATAGTATAATCGCAAATAGAAAATCTCAATTATTTTATATCTTCTACAAATATTTGTACAAATCATTTCGCGATAAATTAAACTCAAATCATTGTGGAAAAATATCTTGTTAGTTTTTGCTCTGAGTATGTACTTTGAAGATTACCTTTACGAGAAAATAAAAACGAAAGAAAAAAAAATTTGCAATGATATAATAAAAAAAAAATACTTGAATAAAGAATCACGTCGGAAAAAGAATACGTAATATCGTACGCGCTCTTAGAACACTATTTATTAAGATAAGTAAATAAAGCTCGACAATGTTTGCACGATGCGAAGCACAAGTGCCTGTTAATTGCTATGCGCTGGCAAACAAAATTTTTCTTCGGACGAGGTTTTTCTCAGAGCAAAATCTCAAGGCGGAAAGGATGCTCCGTCGAACGAGTTTCCCTCGCTCCACCTGTTTCCGCAAACTATCTTACCTATTCCGTCGTGGATATAGAAGACACGCTGTCGCTAAATTGTGTTTTAAGCTCAAACTTTACGCCGTTCTCCACCTCGAGATCTTACGTCGCTGTTATCCGTACGAAGTGCACCGCCAGGATGTTCCTCTTTACAAATCCCGAACTGGTGACACAGCGTACTTATATACATACATATTGTATATATCCACTCACACACACACACATATATATGTACATATATATATATATATATATATATATATATATTACACATATACATAAACATCTGTGTCGGCATATTGTATAAGCCGAAGCGCACAGACGTTTCTTTGGCGGCGTGAAACGCGCGGATCTCCGTAGTAATGAGATGCATTAAGTTTCAGTATAGTTCTCCGGCACATGGCGATTAATTATTATTCATATCTACATTACTTCGCCGCTTTGACGGTCCCATACATCAATACGTAAATTGGATATTCAGATGCGACCGTATTTTGTTACGGATGCACTTTGCAAGCTAATTGCTAATTTAGCTATATTTCACGCGAATAAGGATATTCGTTCGACCGTACATGTAATTTCATTGCGCCACATTGTGCATCGTAAATTTTTACAGAGCTTGTCAGATATTCTAGAATATACTAATAAATAGGGTGTTTATATTTTTTCTTTCTGTTTTTAATATGTAATTCGCGTTGTATGAACGATATAATTTTTATTGGAACTTATATCGAAGCTTAATATGTATGATTTTAATTTTAAAGAAAAAAAAAATTTTAGCGATGCAAATATACCGTGACGTTTCCCGTACCGTTGCATTTTCGTATTCACGAACGCAATTAGTCGAAACTCTGACAACTTCCCGTTCATTGCCCGGATCCTAGTGGGATTAACACTTTGTTGAAGAGTCGGAGAAATTAAAAAGAAAATGAGAGGGCACGTTTTCCCGCAGAGCGCGACGATGCGGGGGATCTTCCCTTACGGGAATTACGTGGGAACGGTTCCGCGGCCTCTTAAAACTATCTTTTAATACTTTGGAACGGCATCGTTTGTTTCGCGACGGTCGTTCGCATAAACCCGCGGCGAATTAATAGAATTTTTAATTAAAATGCGCAGTAATTGTTCTGGGGAAGGAAGAATACATTTGCGCGCAATGGCATGAACAACGAAATTGTGTGCGTGATACAAACAAACGCGTGAAGCCGTTGTATAGAGACGCTGTAGAGGGAGACGATGCGCGTGGGATTTATAGATAGAGAGTTTATTACCTGGATCTGATTACGACACTCGTAGAGGATTTAATCTCATGACAATTTCGTCGTTGCAGGTGCACCACTTAAATTTGAATGCGTCGTTATTGCTGTTGACGTTCGTCAGTTGTATTCCATCAAATCGTCGTGCTTTTTCATTGCCCGACTATAAATTTTTTATCCACTGTTAATTTTTTATTGCTAGACACTATAGAGATATTTTATTATATCTTAATGATGCCACTAAAGCTATGTCACTATGCTATGGAAATCCAACGTGGATGATGAAAAGCGTGCTAATAAAATAATGTTTTCTCGTTAGAAAATACTGTTAATATAAACTGTTATGAAATACGAGTAGCATATATAGTAGTATATATATTAAAAAAATATAAAATATTAAAAGACATATATGTGAGAAAGATCTCGCAAATTTAATTAAAACTGAAATATTATTATAAAAAAAGACTTGTGAATAAATGATTCCAAAGAATTTAAAAAAATATTATTTCTGCTATTTTAAAGTGCTTTTCATAGTTTGAATATTTTTATTGTATCAGAAATACTTGCATTTTTCCAAATATATAAAATATCAATATCGACATTTAATTTCGCGAATTTATTCACCATAAAATTATTCGGGAAATAATTTTCTTTTAATTTAATTTAATTTTATACATACAATAAATAGTCCGAGAATTACATAATTTGCAGCGCGAATAGAATTGCACTGTAACGACGAAACTTTTCTCCTTGAATATTCTGCCGTTTCGTGTACGCAAGTTCTCGACAATACTGTGCGAAGCGAGATTTATCGATAAACAATAGACCTCAATATTCATTAGTAAATTGCATTAGTAATACCTAAGCATTTCCTTCTGACGAAGAGTTGTATCGTTCATGCTGAAACAACATACTTTATAGTCACTGTACCGGAAATAGTTGTACGTGGATAAATGATGAATAAATTAAAGCGCATCGCATGCACTCCGTTAATTTATTTCGCCAACAATTAAGCCTCGTATCGTGATGGGTCAATTCTGAAAGCGACTTATCTCGAGCGTGCTTATAGATCATGATCGTGAGAGATCCGCGAAAAATCTAATTTTAAAATACTTTCTTTAAATGTGAGAACCAAATATAAATATTATAAATATTTATAAATATTATAAATATTATTGTTATATTAATGATATTTTAAATTTTATGTAATCAACACAGTAACAAGTAATATAAATATTTTTGTATATTGTGGGGGCAATCTAAGATAATGATATTAATTTTGCAAATTTTCGATTATCCAATTTTATTTAGGGAATTATTTATGTAATGAATAATTTGTGTCTCTCCAAGATAAATATTTAAAGAATCTCTTTAGTAACCCTTTAACTATGACTGTCGTCAATAGACAACGAATAGGAATGCATATCCGTAATTAAAGGGTTAAACTGTATCAAAATTTTGTTTTCACGTATATTAAAAAATAACCAAATGTATTGTACATTGAAAAAATGAAATTGGATCCGTATGGTTTTATGTTCGAATAAAATGCAAAATAGTATATAATATATGAACATTTATCTGACACATTCATATATAATATCGATATACGTATATTTCATACAGAGAAAATACAATTTTGCAAATACAAAAGTAACAAAAAATTCCGTAAAATATAATATAAAATCGGCAAATTTTCTGAAAACAGATAATGTTTTTCATATGATACAATCTATTATTACATTAGTATATTTTTAGTATATTTTTTAGTATATTTTTTAATATATTTTTTAGTATATTTTTAGTAAGATTAATGAAACTTTCAAAAATTCTCTTGAATAAATAAAATAGAAATTAATTATTAAAAGAGCATATTTAATAGATGAATATACTCTTTAGTACTGAATTATGTACAAATTGTGCATAATAATAAGTGAATCGGGAAGATTATTGTAGTGAAGAATATTTACTAACTCATTTAACTACATGATGTCGCAATCGTTTACATTACCCGATAGTTTTCGATCATTTCGATCTTGGTAAGCCACCGATCGATGAATCGTCTATAACGACCACAATGGCGACCGCGTTACGTGGTGTAGTACCCTCGTGTGTCTGTTCGAGAATAGGGAAACCACGACTGCTACAGATAGGTGCTGGCGAAAGACCGCGATAACGCTTATCTGCTTCCTGGATTTATTGCTAGCGCAATGAAAACGCACCCGCCAGCCGCTCTTCCCTGCCCATTCCGATGTTAATTAGCCGGAGCGTATTCTTAGGGTGTTATAGATTATGGTTACGACGTCTATCAGCACTACCGAGAACAATGCTGAACGAAGTGACGACGCTGACATACTTTTGATGTCACGGATGTGACACGCTATACGTGACTGACATTATACTTACTCGTTCTACTGATACTTCGTATATGACTTTGAAAACTTTTTCGAAAAAAATAATCGATGAATAAACTGTAATATAAATTATATTATTTTTAATTATATATATATAATTAAAAGTAATATAATTTATATTAAATTATTAGTTTTGGTAGCGATTTTAAAATCATTTTCTCTATATACAGTCAAATATTATCTTAAAGATCTTAAATTCTAACTGTGACAATATATCGATAAATTCGAAACTTTGTCAGCCCCGTTTATCAGCATGGTTATATTCAGCCAACGACCGTCAACGATTCAAACTATTCATGTTGGCAAGTTTATTACACGATTCAGCAGGTAACAATGTTGCGAATAGCTAGCAGCATAATCAGGTATGAGTCTCGAGCGCCGATTACGCAGTGGATCCGAAGAGCCTAAACTCGATTAGGCAGACGACAGCTCAGGTTCTAGTTGGGATTAGGATCAAAGCCTAGGGTTTATGGGACACGCGAGATGTCTAGTTTAATGCCTTGAGGTTCCCGACATACTATTCACTCTCGCTCTCTTTCTCGTTTTCTTTTTCTCTTTCTCTTTCTCTCGCTCTCTCTTTCGTGGCATACCTTTGCCAACGTATCTCGGTGATTCGCATAGCAACTCGATCTCTCGGACCGGCGACCTTATCAAAATGAGAATTCGTGCCTGGATTTGTTAGCCCTTCTCTCTTCTCCGCGTCTACATACTTGGTAATTAATCTGATTTGCGTACGCGATACACACACCCACGTGCGCACACGCTCACGTTGCCGCCACTGTCGCGAATTGCTGTCGTCGCGCAAGCACGCATTTCCAGTTTATGTCGTCACGGCGTTATACGCAATCAATTTTCGTCCTCACGCCGTTCCACCCATCATAGTGAACGTACACATGATGAAACCGCTTCGCGCGTGACTTCCTTCCATATCCGCGGTCCGTCCGAGATCGAAAATCTCTGATACTCTTTTTTTTTTCTGCTCAAGCCAAACCTCATTTAAGAACGCATTGCCACGACATGTAAATTATTTACTGCTAAAAAGAAACGTATTAAACATAATTTCACAATCATGCTACATATTTTGTGATATAAATATAATATATCGTGATATAATGCATCACTCGGAGAGATAGATAATATAATTATAAAGTCATTTTCGGAGTTTAGTAACAGATAGCACTTTGATCAAAATTGCGTTATATATTTATAACATAAAACGAATTAAAAAAGAATTTAAATAATTCAAATGGTGAAGATAAATGTAGAAAAAGAGAAATGAGAGAAGAAACAAGACGTAATCTTGTTAAAAATTAACAGTACAATACTTCAGCAATTTAATTCTTCATTACACGTAAAATCAATTTATAATTCGAGCAAATTTACAAATTTATATTTCAATGTTCTAGTTCTAATAGAGCTATATTAACGAAGCTATATTAACGATTTAGTTAAATCTTAGAGAATTACTTTTACATCGTTCTTCTCGAACATAGAAATTGGACTGCGTGATCGATAAAATTATAAATTAGTTCAACATTCCTAAATATACCTCGAATTATTTTCTGAAATTCATTTAATAATAGATATAACGCGAGCAAAGTTAATACCACATTATCATCGCCGATGTATAATAACACATTTTATAACTTATTGAAGTAATAATAGAACTTGTCAGCAAAAAAATAAATAATTTATATTTGCTTGATAATTTAATGTTGCACTATTGAAAACGTAAGGTTTCTCGAAACTGTCGATTATTAAGATAGTGGAAAACGCTGTACAAGGAGATACGTAGAGAAACGGAGATACAACCCCTTACGTGTGATATTTCAGAAATCGTTAACCATTTAGCTTGTTATATGCAGTGAGTAAATTTCCGTCGCATCTTTGTCTTTCTTTAACTTTTCCGCCGGCAGCAAGAGAGGATCGCACTTGGAAATAATTAAGCCCTGGAACGTGCTTCGGCGCAAAGGGGAACTGAGAGAATGCCCATTGTTATTCCGAGAAGGAGCCCGATGCTTCCTCCGTTATCGAGGAATTAGATGGTAACACGAGGAATTAAACAAGAGGATTCGAGAGGAAGGCGTAATAAAATCATTAAAGAAGTGACGTACAGATGAGAACTATCAGAGATTGCGTAAATGGCCAATTGCTTTATTAAGTTCCCATGAAGGAATCGTTGATTCCAACACTAGTCTAGATATGCCTAACTTCATCAGAGAAAGTTAAGCTGCCTTCTAAGTTATGATTTAGATAAATGGAGAGAAAAATAGGTTATACTTTACAATATAATAGAATATAAGTAAAGGATGATATATATATATATATATATATATATATTTATATATATTTATATATATTTATAATATTATTATTAATATAAAATAAAAAATATATATATGAAATATAATTAATATATTCTAAATATTATCATTAAATCATTAATATTCTAAATATTATCATTAATATTCTAAATATTATCATTAAAATAAAAAATATTAAAAATGAATCATTAAAAAAGTGAATAAATATGCAGAATATATAATAAAACAAAATGTAATATATAATATATTGGATGTAATATATATTTATTATTTAATATATTATATATATTATTATTCTGCATTTTGTTTTATATTCTGCATACTTATTCACTTTTTTAATGATTCATTTTTAATATTTTTATTATTTTAATAAAATTTAATTTTTATTATTTTAATGATAATAATTTAATTTCTATTATTTTAATGATAATATTTAGAATTAAAAAAGTCATATGTTTGTGTATAAATGTATGCATAATGTTTCTTATAAATCAATTATTTTATATGAGATAATATATTATAGAAAATTATATAAGTATTACAATCTGTTTATATGTAATTTCGATATGTTTACAAATTTTTGAATTTACACTTAAAATATTTAAAATATTTAACGTTTTAATCGCATAATTAATTAATTTTTTAATGCATTTATAAATGTACAAAATCTGCGCGTTCTACAGTAATTATAATAACTTATGAGCTTTTATATATTTCAACTGTAATATTGGAAAGAATAATTTGCTTTAAAACAATTATCAACGAACCAATATCGACTATATAATATTCATTACAGTTGATTTTCTCTCTCAATATCTTGATCAGCACGATCTGTGTAACAATCAATTGCTTTATAGAATATAATTTCACACGATATCCATATAAATATTGTACAATCAAAACTGGATTACAATTTTATTCATACGATTTTTATATAAATACATTTTTGAGGTATTTTCTCTCAATTTACGCCGAATGATGCATCTCGTGTAAGTAACTACTTCATTTTCCCCGAGTACTTTGGAGACACAGTTTTTCCGCAAAGTGAAAGAATCACGCCTGAAATTGTTTTCCAATTTAGAAGATACGATTTATATAACAGCTAGCGATCTCCCGAGATACTTGAGTGTAAATCTCCACGGAATCCCATAGCGCCAGGGGCAAACAGCAAAGCGAAATGTTATGTCTACGTTCATTCTTTCTGGGCTCGAAACAATAACGATATTATAGATAGGTACTAAACGATTTTTATATCTACACAGATAACGGGAGCTCCTCTCCCGTTGATCCTGATGCCATTCATCTCGGACCACCATAAACATTTTTGATTATCACTTTGAAAAATCTCATTAGAGATGCGTGAGCCTCATTGAAATGTACGTTTCACTGAATCGCAAATTTTTATATATATAATCTAAAAAATATCTTTAAATATAATCCTTTTATCTTTCATATTTTCTTTTTTTTATTAAATTTCTATTAAATCATAACTTAACTTAATTCATTGTATCGCGCACTACATTTTTCAAATATCCTCCATGCTATTTATCATCGTTGCAAAGTTTAATAGTGTATTGTAATAGAGAGTTACTTTATATCAGCAACATAGAGTTTGCGCTACAGTAAATAAATATTATAGTATCATTTAATATCCAAGAAAGAAAATATTTTATAAATTTTAGTTTTGATATTTAAACTGATATTTAGTTTCTTGTTATTCTTATCAATTTTATAATTAAACAATTCCAAATCTTTCTATTGTGATTTTACATTTACGATCTGCAATCTAATTCTACTTTATAATATGTCAGTGATATTATATAGCAGAAAATATTTTTTGAAGTTAAAATGTGCATCCATGTTCTGTGACAGAAGAAAAATTAAATTCAAAGATAAATTAAAGATGTTTGAAAGAGCCATTTAATCGAGGTATTTTCAGTTTTTCTGGCTTTTTATATTTCCAATTGAAATCATATTTTTTATATGACTGTTGTTAAGTTCCTCATTTTTGTTTTAAAAAAGATAAAAAAAATTTTATTTGAAAATTTTGATTGAAAAGAGCATTAAATATAAGAGTTAATAAAAATATCTTTTAGGCTATCTCTGAATTATACGACTTATTCCTTTAATGTAAGATAAACGTATTTAAATAATTAGAGTGAAATAGGTATTTAATAGCCATTTAGATTCATCACATAATATCAGATGTACATGATATATGAATTATAGTAAAGTGCTCTGTACAAGAAGCGACGAACTGAGATCCGTAACATGTACAATATAATTATATGAGAACGATGAAATGTACTTTACGTGTAAATGACATGATTATTAGCAATGCGTACACGATGATCAAAATTACAGCATTGGTTATTTATTAATTTAGTTCAATAAAATATGAATATTTTTA